TGTACATACCTTAAGTAAAAAATACTTTATTGCTAAAAAATGCTAACCATCACGTGAGCCTTCAGCAAGTTGTAATCTTTTTGTTGGTGGGGGCATGCCTGAAGGTTGATGGCTGCTGACTGATCAGAGTTGCTGAAGGTTGGGGTGGCTGTGGCATTTTCTTTTAATTGCATGACCCACAGTACTTCTTTCAGAATTGGAGTGAGTCCTCTCAAACCCTGCTGCTGCTTTATCATGAGGTATATGTAATATTCAAAATCTTTTGTTGTCATTTCAACAATCTTTACAGCATCTTCACAGGAGTAGATTCCATCTCAAGAAACCACGTTCTTTGTTCATCCATAAGAAACAACACCTCATCTGTTAAACTTTTATCATGAGATTGCAGCCATTCAGTCACATCATCAGGTTCCACTTTTTTTTTTATTTTTTTGTGATGAAGATCAGCCCTGTGCTAACATCTGCCAAATCCTCCTCTTTTTTTTTTTTTTTTTTTTTTTTGCTGAGGAAGACTGGCCCTGGGCTAACATCCATGCCCATCTTCCTCCACTTTATATGGGACGCCACCCCAGCATGGCTTGCCAAGCAGTCTGTCGGTGCACGCGCACTTAACCGCTTGTGCCACTGGGCTGGCCCTCCAGGCTCCACTTCTAATTCTAGTTCTCTTACTATTTCCATGACATCTGCAGTTACTTCCCCCACTGAAGACTTGAACTCCTCAAAGTCCTCCGTGAGGATTGGAATCAACTTCTTCCAAACTCCTGTTAATGTTGATATTTTGACTTCTTCCCATGAATCATGAACGTTCATAATGGCATCTAGAATGGTGAATCCTTTCCAGAAGATCTTCAATTTACTTTGCTCCAATCCAGCAGAGGAATCACTATCTATGGCGGCTAAAATAGCCTTATGAAATATGTTTCTTAAATAATAAGGCTTAAAAGTCGAAATTACCTCTTGATCCATGGGCTGCAGAATGGATGTTGTGTTAGTAGGCATGAAAACAACGTTAATCTCATTGAACATCTCCGTCACGGCTCTTGAATGACCAGGTGCATTGTCAATGAGCAGTAATATTTTGAAAGGAATCTTTTTGCCTGAGCGGTAGGTCTCAAGAGTGGGCTTAAAATATTCAGTAAACCATGTTGTAAACAGATATGCTGTTATCCAGGCTTTGTTGTTCCATTTATAGAGCACAGGCAGAGTAGATTTAGCCTAATTCTTAAGGGCCCTAGGATTTTTGGAATACTAAGTGAACGTTGGCTTCAACATTAGCCCCTAATAAGAGAGTCAGCCTGTCCTTTGAAGCTTGGAAACCAGGCGTTGACTTCTCCTCTCTAGCTTTGAAAGTCCTAGATGGCATCTTCTTCCAATGTAAGGCTGTGTCATCTACACTGAAAAATCTGTTGTTTAGTGTAGCCACCTTCATTAAGTATCTTAGCTAGATAGTCTGGATAACTTGCTGCAGCTTCTACCTGGATAACTTGCTGCTGCTTCACTTTGTAGTTTTATGTTATGGAGATGGCTTCCTTCCTTAAACCTCATGAACAAACCTCTGGTACCTTCAACCTTTGCTTCTGCAGCTTCCTCCCCTCTCTCAGCCTTCATAGAATTGAATAGAGTTGGGGCCTTGCTTTGGATTAGACTTTGGCTTGAGGGAATGTTGTGGCTGGTTTGATCTTCTATCCAGACCACTAAAACTTTCTCCATATCAGCAATAAGCCTGTTTTGCTTTCTTATCATTCTCGTGTTCACTGGAGTAGCACTTCAAATTTCCTTCAAGAACTGTTCCTTTGCATTCACAACTCGTTTAACTGTTTGGCGCAAGACCCCTGGCTTTCTGCCTATTGCAGCATTCAACATTCAGCATTTCTTTTTTTTTTTTAATAATTTTATTTATTTATTTATTTATTTATTTTTCCCCAAAGCCCTAGTAGATAGTTGTATGTCTTAGCTGCACATCCTTCTAGTTGCTGCATGTGGGACACGGCCTCAGCATGGCCGGAGAAGTGGTGTGTTGGTGCGCGCCTGGGATCCGAACCCGGGCTGCCAGCAGCGGAGCGCACACACTTAACCACTAAGCCACGGGGCCGGCCCAACATTCAGCATTTCACTAAACTTAGTCATTCGTAGCTTTTGATTTAAAGTGAGAGCCATGAGACTTTTCCTTTCACTTGAACACTTAGAGGCCATTGTAGGGTTATTACTTGGCCTAATTTCAATATCATTGTATCTCAGGGAGTAGGGAGGACCAAGGAGAGGGAGAGAGATAGGAGAATGGCCGGTTGGTGGAGCATGGCCGGTTGGTGGAGCAGTCAGAAGACACAACGGGGGTCGGCCCGGTGGCGCAAGCGGTTAAGTGCGCGTGCTCCGCTGCAGCGGCCCGGGGTTCGCCAGTTCGGATCCCGGGCGCGCACTGTTGCACCACTTGTCAGGCCGTGCTGTGGCAGTGTCTCATATAAAGTGGAGGAAGATGGGCACAGATGTTAGCCCAGGGCCAGTCTTCCTCAGCAAAAAAGAGGAGGACTGGCAGATGTTAGCTCAGGGCCGATCTTCCTCACACACACACAAAAAAAGACGACGCAACATTTACTGATTAAGTTTGCCCTCTTTTATGGGCGTGGTTCATAGCACCCCAAAACAATTACAATAGTAACATCAAAGATAACTGATCACAGATCACCATAACGAATATAATAATAATGAAAAAGTTTGAAATATTGAATTACCAAAACATGCCACAGAGACACAATGTGAGCAAATACTGTTGGAAAAATGGTGCCAATAGTCTATACAGAAGTTGAGGTATAATGATGTACACCAGAAATTTATATAATGTTATAAACCCGTGTGACCTTAATAAAAAAAGTTTTTTTTAATAAAAAGAAACTAAAGAAAAATGGCGCAAATAGACTTGCTCAACGCAGGATTGCCACAAACCTTCAATTTGTTAAAAATGCAGTATCTGCAAGCTGCAATAAAATGAGGTATGCCTGTATTTGTCTTTTTGATTCTGACCATCCTAGTGGGTGTGAAGTGGTACCTCGTTGTGGTTTTGATTTGCATTTTCCTGATGACAAATGATTTTGAACATCTTTTCACGTGCTTATTGGCCATTTGTATATCTTCTTTGGAGAAATGTCTATTAATTAAGATCCTTTGCCCATTTTCTAATTGGGTTTTTTGTTTTTTTATTGTTGAGTGTAAGAGTTCTTTATGTGTTCTGGATACAAGTCCCTTATCAGATGCACGATTTGCAAAATTTTTCTCCCGTTCTATGCACTTGTCTTTTCATTCTCTTGATAATGTTGTTTGAAGCACAAATATTTTTAATTTTGATGATGTCCAGTTTGTCTGTTTCTTCTTATTGCTGTGCTTTTGGTGTCATGCCATCCTGTTGTCTTTTGTACACGTTTCTCATGAGGCGACATGAAGGAATTTTCACATGTCCTTTTAAGTCCACAAATACATAAATTACACTGTTCTTATAGACTCTGCATCATCTGTGAAACAGAACACAGCCTTGGAAACATAAAGATTATTCTGAGCTTTCCATCTGCTACAGGGAGCAAGCAGTGCTCCAGAAATCTGATGCCTTATCTTGGTTGAAAGTATGTTTTGACTGTTGCAATGGAGATGAACTTGACCACTTTTCTGTTTCTATTTATGGGATTACAGATCTACATACATATGTGAGGTGTGGGAGATCTTCGTACCTATGCTGTTTCCCAGTTCTGCCCCTCTGTTGGAATTTCACACACACACACACACACACCCACAAACAGGAAATAAACTTTTCAATAAGAGTTTTTAATTTTCTTTTTGTAATCACAGATGATTTGATTATGCTGGGGAAAAAAGTCTACCTCAAAGTGTTTTTTGTTTGTTTTTACAGTGTCTGTTTACCAAACAGTCACCTTTTTTAGTGTGTATGTGACAGATTTAAAGAATAAAATATTCAGGGGCCGCCCGGTGGCATAGCGGTTAAGTGCATGCGCCCCGCTGCGGCAGCCTGGGGTTCGCAGGTTTGGATCCTGGGTGCGCACCAACGCACAGCTTGTCAAGCCATGCTGTGGCGGTGTCCCATATAAAGTAGAGGAAGATGGGCATGGATGTTAGCCCAGGTTCAGTCTTCCTCAGCAAAAAGAGGAGGATTGGTGACAGATGTTAGCTCAGGGCTAATCTTCCTCACAGAAAAAAAAAAAAAGAATAAAATATTCACCAGGAATTCATTATAGGAGTCCTTGAATAGGAAAATAATAGTTTATCTTCCTGAGAAGAAAATGGGAAAGTTAAGGGGGTAGAGAAGTGTGTCTTTCCTCGCTGCCTCATCTTTTCTCCCTCCTTACAGCAAGAGGAAGGGAAATGTTGTTGAGAGAAGCAGCTAAAGTAAGAGGCTGGCCCCGAAGCTCTGGCCAGGCACTCTGCTTCGAGGATCTCACAGCTGACCTGCAGCCAGCAGAGGCTGTTCCTACAGCAACCTTTCGTCTGCTCATCAGTCATCCGCCTGCCTGGATGGCCTTAGGCCTCCCCACCCTTGCCCCAGAATACCCCCCACTGGTTTCTTGTTGTTTGTGTCCACCTGGGACTAGGGTTCAGGAAGAGGGAGTTAGGCCCTCAGCCTCTGTCCAGACACTTCTACGCGCAGACTCTCCCCAGCCAGCCTTGGGGTCCAGTGCATAGGCTCCGCCGCAGATGCCCACGTCCTCGCTGTGCAGGGGCCAGGTGGAGCTGCCTGGGGGCTGGGCTAGGTGGGGCCGGAAGAGCAGCAGCTGTGATGGTGGAGCGCAGGTTTGTGGGGTGATCGCGTTAAGCCAGAGGAGAGACTGACGGACAGATTTTCTTTCTGGTTTTCCTGAACTTCTACCGTCCACCTCTGCCCTTCTCCTCCTGCCCCATCCTTCCCGTAGACCTGTTCCAGACATGCCCTTACCCCTTCCAGGGCTGGCATCCTCCTTCGTACTCTCTTTCCTAACATTGCCTCTAAAACGGCTTCCTAGGTGCTGCAAAAACCCTTGGACATGGACACTGTCCAGCGAGAGCTTCCTCACGAAGTGGACCAAGTGCACCTGGAGGTTTTGGAGCTTCAGAAGCAGGTGGCTGAGCTTGAGAAGCGTCTCAGGACAGTGTGGAAGGAAGGCAGGGTGGCTTCAAGCAGGCAGCAGCTGCAAGCTTCCTGCCCCATGGCCCTCAGGAGAGAGGTGGGTGCCCTGGGCAGGCCTCTGATCTGCTCCCGCCCTGGGGTCTTCCTGTGTGTGCTCTGCCCACTCCATGGCTGGTGTAGCTTGTGAAGTCACCTGAGCAGGGGCTCCGCCTCCACTTGCTCCCTCTTCCTTCCTGGGCTGGCTCTAATGTTTGGGCCTGTTCCTGGACAGACACACTGTTGAAGGGTGCAGTCCCTCCCTTAATCCTGCAGGTCTTTAAGATCCCACCCTTTAAAAATCATGTGTAGGAGACCGCACATGTGAAAATAGTTCTTCCATTTCCTCTAGAATAGGGGTCCTTGACTACTTGCTGAGAGGGCTCCGGGAAACCCTGGAATCCACACAAATTGTAGTTTTTCCTTCAGGAGGACCCTTGTGGGAGGACCATGTCGTTTTCATGAGATTCTCAGAGTGTTTAAGACCTCTGCCCACATGCACGTGACAGTGGGGCCACCCTGTGTGGGCGTTGTGGGGGCTCTCCCATCCCGGTCGTGGTCAGGCCCTCGGCACCCAGTGCCCGTCTAGCACCATGGCTTGGTGTGAGCCAAGGTCCCAACCCATGGAGAGAGCTCTGCGGCAGCACGTTGTTCCCACAGATCTGACAAACAGGCCACCTTTCTTCTTACCGAAGGCCGTGATGGAGGTGTTGTAAAGAACGGGCTTTCTTTACAGGGGTGTCCTCTGACATGCCTCCCGAGACCTCTCACTTACCTGCGGTGACCTGGAGTATCTGTGATTATTTGTGGTGACCTGAGGTTACCTGTGGTGACCTGTGGTGATCCACAGTGACCTGTGTTACCTGCGTTACTTGTGGTGACCTGTGGTTACCTGCAGTTACCTGTGTTACCTATAGTGACCTGCATTACCTGTGGTGACCCACAGTGACCTGTGTTACCTGCATTACTTATGGTGACCCGCAGTGTGGTGACCTGTGTTACCTGTGGTGACCTGCATTACCTGTGGTGACCCACAGTGACCTGTGTTACCTGCATTACTTGTGGTGACCTGCAGTGTGGTGACCTGTGTTACCTGTGGTGACCTGCATTACCTGTGGTGACACACAGTGACCTGTGTTACCTGCATTACTTGTGGTGACCCATGTTACCTGTGGTGACCCGCGTTACCTGTGGTGACTCGCGTTACCTGTGGTTACCTGCAGTTACCTGTGGTGACCGGCATTACCTGTGGTGACCTGCAGTTACCTGTGGTGCTGCAGTTACACCGCATTACCTGTGGTGACCTGCAGTTACATGTGTTACCTGTGGCTACAGATGGTGACGTGTTCATCAGCAGAAGGTTTTAGGGATAGTAACGATGTCTGGAAGCCGCGAATAGTCCTCTGGCAGAAACAGCACAGATCGTGTATACCCCAGCAGCTCTTGTCCCACGGGCACCGTTTTGAGAGTGGTACTTGGGCTCCAATGGGGACATGGCTCCAGGACCCACCACCAGGGGCTGTGAAAGGACAGAGAAGAAGACGTGGTCCGTGGTACTCTCTGGCTCAGAGAACACGAGGAGGGCACCAGATGAGCCTTGGTGCAGGCGAACACGTGAGGGGTGTCTGCAGAGGGAGACGGGAAGGCTGAGGAGTCCTGAACCCCACAGGGTCACTAAGAAGGTGGGATGCCGAACAGTCTGTGCCATCAGTAAGTACAGGCCGATGTCAGAGATCTGCACGTTTAGTTCTAGACCACCCGATAAAGCAAATATTGCAATAAAGCAAGTCCCACAAATTTTTTGGTTGCCCAGTGCCTGTAAAAGTTATGTTTACACTGTACTGTAGTCTATTGCAATAGCATTATGTCTAAAATAACAGGGTACAGACCTTAATTAAAAAATACTTTATTGCTAAAAAATGCTAACCATCATCTGAGCCTTCAGCAAGTCGTATTGTTTTTGCCGGTGGAGGGTCTTCTGAAAAACGCAGTATCGGGCCAGCCCCGTGGCTTAGCGGTTAAGTGCGCGTGCTCCGCTACTGGTAGCCCGGATTCGGATCCGGACGTGCACCGACGCACCGCTTCTCCGGCCATGCTGAGGCCGCGTCCCACATACAGCAACTAGAAGGATGTGCAACTATGACATACAACTATCTACTGGGGCTTTGGGGAAAAAAAAAAAGGAGGAGGATTGGCAATGGATGTTAGCTTAGAGCCAGTGTTCCTCAGCAAAAAGAGGAGGATTAGCACGGATGTTAGTTCAGGGCTGATCTTCCTCAAAAAAAAAAAAAAAACGCAGTATCTGTGAGGCACAATAAAGCGAGGTAGTCTGTAGACGTCATCCTCAAGAGCCCCGGCGTCCAGCCCCTCCCCCGGGCCCCAGGCATCCCTGAAACCCTGCCACTCGAGGGTTGAGTTCTGGCCCAGCAGGCGCTCCGGGCAGCTGGGATCTATGCAGATGCAGATGCAGGGGTGGTAGATCTTCTCTCACCCATATCCACAGCTCATTGCAGGTGCTGCCAGGTGCTGGGCCACAGCGAAGGGGATCTAGCAGTTCTGTTAGCCACCTGCACAGAACTCACCGATCCCACTTGTTTAGAGTGAAGGAGGAAGAAATCTCACAAAGAAGCAGATTTTTCTTTTTTTTTTTTTTTTGCAGGGAAAGAGTCACTCTGAGCTAACATCCGTTGCCAATCTTCGTTTTTTTTTCCCTCCCCAAAGCCACAGTGCATGGTTGTATATCCTAGTTGTAAGTCCTTCTAGTTCTTCTATGTGAACCACTGCCAGAGCATAGCAACTGACATATAGGTGCTGCAGTTCCGCAACCAGGTAATGAAACTGGGCTGCCGAAGCGGTAAGAGCACCAAACTTTAACCACTAGGCCATCATGGCTGGCTCAAGAAGCAGAATTTAAAGTCAAGGCATTTAATCCTATGGCGGACAGACTGGGAGCAGAAGCGACATGAAGCCCATCACGGCTCTCCCAAGGCAAGTGGGACAGGTGAGCTCTCTGGGCCTTAGTTTCTGTACAGCCATCAGGGTCTCACACTCCTTCCAGGTCTAGGCATCCCATGACCTTGGTGAGGTCACTTTCCAGGTGAGAAATTTGAGGCACAGGAAACCCAAGTGGCCAGTCCCTCTGTCCAGACCAGGCCCACCCAGGCTTGCACCCATACTTGCCCAGCTTCTCTCATCTGGAGAAGAGGGTGCATGTGCCAGGCTTCCCGCAGCTGGGAGAGCAGTTACAGATTGGGAGAGATGGAAGACCAAGAGGGCTGGGATGCTCCCTGGGGCGCGAGTTGGGGTTGGAGTTAGCAATGTAAAGTCATGAGTTATTTTAGAGAGAGAGAGAGAGCGCGATAGGTAGGGAGGCAGAGAAACACATGTATGCACAGATTCCTGGCTCTGCCCACCCAGAGCACCTAAGAGCAGTGACTCCCCAGGAGCGATGAGCAAACCCAGTGCCCAGATCTTGGTTTCTGAATTTCCTCCTCTGCTGAGAGGAATGAGGGTAAGTGGCTGATTCCACTGTGGAGACGTGACAGGATACAGGGACTGGCTTAAAGGGCTCCCCTTGACCCAGTCTAGGCCAGTGATCATGAAGTCAGGGTTACAGTCCACTGAATAAAATGGGGAATTGAGTCCATGCTAACGCAAATCAAGTGATAGAGGAAAAAAGGCGAGAGGAAAGCTCTTCCTTACGTTAGAACATCAAGCAGCAGACATAACAGGAGTGACGCAGCTGGAAAGTCATGGATGCTTGCTACGATCAGGAGCAAGGTAGTTACACAGTGTCTCCTCACAGATTACTTCCTAATTACAAAGGGAAATAGAAACTTAACTGAGGGATCAGCTCCCATCGCCAGCATTTGGACTGACGGACATCATGGGCTTCTGGACAGGAGAGGGACACAGCCTCCCTCTCGACTCTAAGCACAAAGAGACCTGAGACAGACTCAGACTGAGGGAGATACTAAGGTCAACGGGCCCGTACTGTGAGAGCGGTCCAGTTAGGAGGCTGAGGGCACCTGGGAAGCCAACGCCATGTGGGATCCTGGACCCCAGGCAGGAGAAGCAAGCTACGAAGGACAGTATGTGGACAGTCGGTGAAGTTTGCATGTGGACTGTGCGTTAGGTCCTCGTGTTGTACCCATGTTCAACTTCTGGTTTTGGTTATTAAGAGAATGTCCCAAATGAAGTATTTAGGTGTAAAGAGGCACAATGTCTCAACTTACTCTCAGCAGTTCAGGAAGAAGACTGTATGGAGAAGGGGCAGGTCACAATAAAGCCAGTGGACCAACTGCCGCCATGGCTAATCTGGTGAATCTGGCGAAGGGTGCGTGGAGCCCTCGTGCCATCCTCGCAGCTTCTCTGCAAGTTTGAAATTCTGCCAGACAGAAGCCAGTCCCCTTCCCTCCCCTAGCCAAGAAGAAGGGATCGTGCAGAACTTCTGCATGGTGCACTGGAGATATGCAGGGCCAGGTGTCTGCAGTTTCACATTTTCACATTTCTTTGGTCTCTAGTGACCCCCAGCCCAGTGCCCACTTGGGCCCCTCCCACAGAGGGAGAGACGGGTGGGTGGACTGATGGACAGGCAGACTGACAGGGTCTCCCGGCCTTCTGCCGCCTCCTGCCTACTGGGCTTCCCCCAGGCCTTCCTGCCTAGCGGCCAAGAACACAGTGGGAGGGCCCACTGTGGGGCAGTGTTGGCTGGCAGTCCCTTGGCCGTCTCCTCCTGGAAGCTTGGGAACCTGCAGAGGGATTTGTGTCCACCCTGGAGCCAAGCCATTGAGAGCCAGGTTTGGAGCTTGCTCTGGCCCAGGCCTCAGCCTCCCAAAGGACTTCTCCATGGAGCCCAGTCACTCCCTGCCCTTGGGAACAGAATCATCATTGAGACGTCTCAACGGGTGAAGCTTTCCCTCTACTGCACGGACATTTCCCCTCCCAGTCAAGATGTTGGGATCAGCACCCAGAGCAGGCGAGGGCGGGTGGGCAGTGTGGGGTGGACAGGGCCAGCCTAGGATGGGATCCAGTGGGCCCTGAAGCATGCAGTAGTTCAGCAGGTCCTAAATGTGTCTCTGGTCACTTAGCATCTTATCATTATTGTGGGGAGAGACTTTAGAGAGTCATCAAAATAAACTTGATCTTACCAGAGACTGTGCCCAAGATAGGTGAGGTCCCTGGCTGAAGTCCCCACTCACCGCGTGACTAGCCACAGTGACTAGAATGTGGGTCATTTAAAATTGTGACCCGCCAGCTTGAGCCCAGCCACCGGCCCCGGGCAGTGTTGGCTCCTTGCTCAGGCCAGGGGCAGGCTTTGTTGGGGGGGGGGGGGGCTGCTTTTGAAGAGGGTTTTAAATCTCTGAGTGTTCTGAGGTTTGCAAAGTCTCTGTTTTCAGGACTCTTCTTTCTTCACTTAAAATAACATGAGAGAATCCAACAGCGTGTTCCTGTAGAGGACCAGGCCTTGAGAATGGACCGCCCGGCTGAGTCCCCCCACCCCAGGGCGGAGCACGCCTGGAAGGCTGTGATGCTTTCACAGCAGATCAGGTCGACCCTTTAGGGGCGTATGGAGCCCGTGTGCGTGAACCCACGCTCCAGGCCTCTGCTCCTCCAGGTTTGTCCCAGCCCCCCGCAGGCCTAAGGGCCCCAACTCCTGTCCTGTGCCCTTGAGAGACCGTAAACGAAGCTGACACTCTGTGTTCGCGGAGAGCAGGCACAAGTCCCGCTCGCACCCCGGGGAAAGGAGTCAGACTTGGGTGCTTGGGCTGCGGCGAGACCTCCCCGGGGGCTGCAGGGCCACAAGATTTGTCTGTCTCTTCCTTTGCAGTCTCACCTCCACAGCCCCCCTTCAGGCCATACTATCCTGTGGGCATGTGCCAGAGGCACCTGTGTGCAGTCCCTATGGCTCCCAGGCTACCTGAGGAGCAGTAGCCACCAGTGGATGTGGGTACCTGCCAGCCCTGGAGAGGCACACCAGGAAACCGGGCCAGGACAGGGCATGCTGGGCTGTTCCAGGGACTCGGCGCCGGTTCCTTGTGCTGGCGCCAGCTCGTGTGGCCAGGACGGGGCACGGTGTGGCTTTCATGGGTGTCAGGAGCAGGCATGCCTAAGTAGGCCACCTGCTTCCCTCGGGGCCTTGGATTCAGTGTCCCTCCTGGGCCCCTGCCCAGAGGCAGCCCCCACACACATTCTTCTTCCTTTCTCTTATTCCCTACATGAGTGTGACCACACATCTGTGTGGTGGGACCCTGAGTCCAGGCTGGGGTTAGCAGGGGCAGTAGCGGGTTTTCGGACTACACGGTGCTTCCCAGGGTGAGGGCGCCCAGGGCAGCCTCAGGGCCAAGAAGCCAAGGCCCCGGGTGGCCACTGCTTCCTCCCTTCGACCCCTTTGCTTTCTGCACGTGTTTCAGGACAGGGGGAAACTTGGGCTGGCCTGCGGCTGGTTGAGGGGAGCCTGAACGACAGCTGGAGAAAGTGCCTGAGACACGGAAACAGGAGTCAGGCCAGACAGAGCCAGAGAGGAGAAGCAAGCGTGTCCAGCGAAGGAGGGCAGCAGGAGGCAATGGGAGAGGGCCACCACTAGCATGGCCCAGGGCAGAGTGACCCAGCAGTGCAGAGTCCACGGCGGGAAGGAAGAGAGTGAAGGAGGTGGCTGGACTCCCATCACAGGCTGCCCTGTGGGTCTCTGCCAGCCCCCTTCCACGCCAGGCGGGCAGCCCTTGGGCAGCAGGCACCTAGCCCGTGACTGCAGTGCCCATGCAGGGTCCTTTCACACATAGCCCTCACGGGCCCTGGGGGCCTGTTGGAGGCCAGCGTGGCTGCCAGCTAGCTCCTTATTGTCTTCACTGGAAAGACACAAAGGCATGATGGGGAGTAAGGAGAAGAACCTGATGGGGCAGGGGCTGTGAGGGTTCGAGGAACTGGGGTGTGTAGTCACCGAGGGGCAGGCCTTGGCCTGGGAGATTCGAGGGCCTTCATTCATCCTGCTTGTGAAAGAGGAGTCGTCCACAGATGCGTGGTTGTCCTCCATCTCACACTAAAGTGCGAGAGCAGTTGTCCCTTTTGTCTCTCCTTCAGAAGGACATCACCCGGTGATGCTGGTTCTGGGCCGGCCGGGCAGGGGTGCCCGCCATCCGCACCCTCACCCCTACCACACCCCTCTCCCACCTGGAGGGCTTGTCTCAATGCTGTCTGCCATGTGGGTTTTGTTCACAGGACCTCACAGGCAGAGGACCCTCAGGGACTGTGGACCAGGGGACATTCTCTGTGCATCTGAGCCCAGGGGCACAGCCCCCACAAGTCTTGTCTGTGGCCCGACTCCAGAGAAAACTAAAGGAGGCGGCCCGAAAAATCCTCTGCCTCCGTCTGGAGAAGGAGCAGCTCCTGGAGATGGGAAACAGGCTTCGTGCGGAGCTGGGCTGCCCCACAGGTGAGTGCTGAGAGCGTCGGCCTGCGGTGCCAGGTTCTGGGGAGCCCCCGCAGTGGAGGGCCGAGGGGGCCTCACAGAAGTGCTTTCTTCCTCTGGCCTGCCCCTCGGGAAGGGGAAAGGAAGGGTGCCTGGAGGCTGCCCATGGGTACAGAGGCGAGGGGAGGGACCAGGAAAGGCGTGTGGAGAGCCTGGGTTGGAGGGAGGGCTCTGGCCCAGACTTCTCAGGAAAGCAAGAGGGAGAACAGAGGCCGCCCTTGTGGAGCGAAGCTGAAGCTGAGGTCAGGAGTCACCGGCACAGAGCAGAGCTCCGTCTCCATGATGGCAGTCAATGAACCCACTCCTCTGGCAGGATTTGTGAGAAAAATGCCGCAGGTTAGCCAAGCAGCCGGCCTTTCTATGCGGCTTTGTGGTGAGCAGCAAAGGCTGCCGTGTTCCCAGGCTGGCTCTGACTGCAGACGTCTCCAGATAAAGGCAGCGGTGTCTCTACTGCAACCCAGGCTGGGACTGTCCGCCTGCAGACACCCGGGCTGCCTGGGGTGCCTCAGAGGGTGCTGGTTCCTAAGAAAGGTGGGTGACACTTGAGTCCGACTCTTGAAAAACAGATGCATTCGTGTTCTGAGTCTGCGGGACAGACCCAGGCTGCCATTGAGGACACAGAACCCCAGACTGAGTGAGGGTCCTGTGGGAAATCCATCAGAGTCAGCCAGACTAAGCAGGAAAGGCCTTCGTGCACAGCGCCTTGCTTCTGTCCAGTTCTGATGCACACTCCTGAGTAGAAGCTTTCCTGGGACACCACGGTCAGACTGCCTTTCAGGTCCCTCTCGCTTGTTCTACGGCACCCAGGCACAGGCCCCATTTCTCACACAGCTTCCCCCTCACTTTCTGTGGCTTCTGCCTGTCCGCCCTTTCCCAGCTAGAGCTTTGAGTTATTGTGAGTATCCTAAAGCAGGGGTCCTTGGGATTCCACCTCATCCTCCGTCGGTGTGACACTCAGGCCATTCCCACTCTCCTGCGCATTGCCTAAAAGCAGAGGGGAGGCTGGAGGGCTGTGGAGCCATCTGCAAGGAATCCGCTGGAGAAGTAAAGCCCCAGGCCACTCTATTTCCCTTTTGCGACAGAGTGCCCTAGTTTGCCTCTGAAGAGCTGAGAGCATTGCAAAGGGAGTTTCAGCAAAAATAACTTCCTCTGTGAACTGCGGGTCTTCCTAACCCCTGATCACCACAGCACTCAGGAAACAGTCACCAGGAAAGAGAAAGAGAAGGGTGGGGCATTATGTTTCATCCTCTAGTCTCTTCCCAGGGCTAAGCGGCATGAATAATCATAGTAGTTTTTAGTATATTAATATTTTCGGTCCTACCATGACTGCTCCAAATCCCCCGTGGTTGGGAAGTGGAGCTTGGGAGGACTTAGGAGCGCAGCGGAACTGAGGGGAGTGCTTGTTTGTGGGAGAGAGGGTGGAAGCAATTTGAGAAAAGCTCAGAAGGAGAGATTACAGTCACCTCGTATTCTACAAATGTTTTGCTGAGTGGCTGCTGCGTGCCAGGTGCCTGAGATACAGAGGTCAACCAAACCGTACGTGTAAAATTTCCCAAATCATTCTTTGAGACGGCTGTTGAATGGTCACCTTTTGCATGTAGGATACTTGGAAGAGATGGTATCTCAGAGGCTTTGTCCTTCTAGGAACCCACTCCTGGAAAGGGGCATAGTCAACAGAGCTATTTCTGGATGCTTTTCCAGATGCCATGTGCAAAACAGTGGGAACGGATGTCGTCAAGGAACTGGCTCCATCTCTCCAGACCCGTCGTCAGAGGCCATTCCCTGTCCTCCTTCTCTTTCACAAGTTGAGGGGAAAGATTGGCTCGCTTCCTCCTCAGAGGCACTTCTGGACCATCTTCTGCAAAGTTCACTAAAAACCTTGTTTCTCTTAAAGGCTGTGCCATCTGCTCATACTCTCCTTCCCTCACCCCTGTTGTTTTACAGTCTGCAGCCACAGTGACTTCAGCAGTTATGGCTCCATTTCTTCCCCTGATTCCATCCCATTCTGTCATCTTCTAAACTGGCAACACCCTCTCATATCCGAACCTTGCTGCTCTTTGACCAAGCCCTGCTCCTGCCAGAGTGCCCTCTCCCAGCCCCTGAGGCCCCAGACATTTTCTCTGATCGCAGCCATGCCTCACTTTCCCTCTAATCCTTCATTCCAGTGAACATGTCTTTCTCCTCATTGTGGTTTCCTGTAGCCAGCTGGCCTTACGGCCAAGTATTTCAGTGAGTCATCCACTCACCCACCCACCCACCCATTCATCCATTCATCCATCCTACCACCTATCCATCCATCCTACCACCCATCTATCTACGCACCCATCCACCCACCCATCCATCCATCAACCCACCCATCCATCCATCCCTCCATCCATCCATCCTTCCTTCCTTCCTTCCTTCCTACCCCTCACCCATCCAGCCGTCATTCCTTCATTCATCCAAGACAGGAGCCCCTGCTAGGTGCCATACTTCCTGCCTTCTGCTGTTTCTGCATCTCCAGGCCCCAAATCTGACTAAACTTGCTGTCTCCTCTCACCACGCCTGCTCCCTGGCTGCCTCACAGTGTCAGAGAAAGCCCCAAATCCCTAGTGACCAAGTTTGTGGCCTTCTCTGAAGGTTAGAGAGACCTCAGCAATAGAAATTTCCATACTTGGTACCTTTATTAACGGTAGACGTTTAACTGTCTTCTTCTATGGTGATTTGTCTATATGGGTTTTCTGCCTCTTCTTGGGTCAATTTTCGTCGTTTACATTTTGCTAAAAAACTATCCATACTCTCTAGCCTTTAAAGTACTACCATAGAGTAGCACATGGTGGCCCATAACTCTACTCTCTTCTGGATCTGTGGTTCTCTCTCCTTCATTTTCTCAGACTTTCATAAGTGCAGTGATGTGGGATGCAGCTTGCACTGCCCTTCCCCCACTGGCTGTGCACACATGGACTCAGTTCATCTTTGCAACAAACCCAAGCGGTGAGAAAGGCTCCTCTAAATAAGATTAAAATTTTTTTAAACCACCTCGACATGAGAAAGTCAAAGACCAACAGATTTGATGTCATTACATTTGAAACATCTCTAAGGAAAAGATATCATAAACAAGGATAAAAGACAAATAACGGACTGGGGGAAATGTTTGCAAATTATTTGATAGATAAAATGGATGAGTACCGGGGCCAGCCCCATGGCGTAGCAGTTGGGTTGACGGGTTCGGCTTTGGCAGCCTGGGGTTCGCCAGTTCGCAGCCAGGGCGTGGACCTATGCACTGCTCATCAAGCCATGCTGAGGCTGCGTCCCGCATAGAGCAACTGGGAGGATGTACAACTGTGACATACAACTATCTGCTGGGGCTTTGGGGAGAAAAGGAAAAAAGGAGGAAGATTGGCAACAGATGTTGGCTCAGGGCCAATCTTCCTCAAAAAAAAAAAAGGAACGGTACCTAAAGTGGGCATCTACAGATCAGGGCAAAGAGCCAGGATGGTGTGTCCCAGAAGAAATCCACAGAACTAAAGAGGTTACGAATGATGCTTAGCCTCTCCAGAAGTCTGAGGAGGGCAAATTAAGTCAGCATCGAGTTCAAATCTCAGATGAGAAAGTTTTACGCTCGGTGTTGAGGAGAACATGGGACACCCCGAAGATTGTTGGTGGGACTCTTCATTGGTGAAGCCTTTTTGGAGGACAATTTGGTTCCATCTGCCAAATTTTTAAGTGTTCAACTGTTTGAATCAGTGATTCTTCTAGAAATCTACTTCAGAGATTTTCCCACAGATGTGAAAAATACACGTGCACAAGGTTATTCTTGCCAGCATTTTTGTTACAGTAAGAGAGTAATTGGGAACGGTTTAAATGGCCATCCTTGGGACGTTGGAATCCAGAACTTGGAATGCTGTTCAGCTGTTCAAAGCACGAAGGGCAGCCTCTGTCCATGCAGGGCACTGTCTCCACATGGCTCTTCTCAAAGTAGTTACGATGGAGAGTCCATTAAGTTCCAGTCCGTTGTGGATGATACTTTTGTCAAATACAATAAAAATGTGGCAGTTCCAAATTACTTCAGAACCTGAGAAAAAAGAACAAAGCTGGAGGTATCACACTCCCTGATTTCAAAATATACTACAAAGCTATAGTAACCAAAACAGCATGGTACTGGCACAAAAACAGACACACAGATCAATGGAATAGAATCGAAAGCCCAGAAATAAACCCACACATCTATGGACAGCTAATCTTCGACAAAGGAGCCAAGAACATACAATGGGGAAAAGAAAGTCTCTTCAACAAATGGTGTTGGGAAAACTGGATAGCCACATGCAAAAAAATGAAAGTAGACCCTTACCTTACACCATACACAAAAATTAACTCCAAATGGATTAAAGACTTGAATGTAAGACCTGAAACTGTGAAACTTCTAGAAGAAAACATAGGCAGTACGCTCTTCCACATCAGTCTTAGCAACATCTTTTCAAACACCACATCTGACCAGGCAAGAGAAACAATAGAAAAAATAAACAAATGGGACTACATCAAACTAAAAAGCTTCTGCACAGCAAAGGAAACCATCAACAAAACGAAAAGACAACCTAACAATTGGGAGAAGATATTTGCAAACCATACATCTGATAAGGGCTTAATCTCCAAAATATATAAAGAACTCATGCATCTCAACAACAAAAAAACTACCAACCCAATTAAAAAATGGGCAAAAGACCTGAACAGACATTTCTCCAAAGAAGATATACAGATGGCCAACAGACACATGAAAAGATGTTCAAAATCACTAACTATCAGGGAAATGCAAATCAAAACTACAATGAGATATCACCTCACGCCTGTCAGAATGGCTATAATTAACAAGACAGGAAACAACATGTGTTGGAGAGGTTGTGGAGAGAAGGGAACTCTCATACACTGCTGGTGGGAGTGCAAACTGGTGCAGCCACTATGGAAAACAGTATGGAGATTCCTCAAAAAATCAACGATAGAAATCCAGCTATTCCACTGTTGGGTATTTATCCAAAGAACTTGAAAACACCAATTTGCAAAGGTACATGCACCCCTGTGTTCATTGCAGCCTTATTCACGATAGCCAAGACTTGGAAGCAACCTAAGTGCCCATCAAGGGACGAATGGATAAAGAAGCTGTGGTATATATACACAATGGAATACTACTCAGCCATAAGAAACGACGAAATCCAGCCATTTGTGACAACATGGATGGACATTGAGGGTATTATGCAAAGTGAAATAAGTCAGAGGGAGAAGGTCAAATACCGTATGATTTCCTTCATTAAGTAGTAGATAATAACAACAATAAACAAACACATAGGGACAGAGATTGGATTGGTGGTTACCAGAGGGGAAGGGGGGAGGGAGGAGGGTGAAAGGGATAATTCGGTACATGTGTGTGGTGATGGGTTGTAATTAGTATTTTGGTGGTGAACATGATGTAGTCCATGCAGAAATAGAAGTACAATGATGTACACCTGAAATTTTTACAATGTTATAAACCAATGTTACTGCAATAAACAAAAAATTAAAAAAAAAAAAAAAAACAAAAACAAAAACAAATTACTTCAGAAGCTCCTAACGCTTATTCTCATTTTCTGTGTCATTTCATCACGGGCCTGGAGTAGTTTGTGGACAGCCCTGGCCTGCTGACCACACTTCTGCATACCCTGACCTGGACACATCCTTCTGCAAAAGAAGCAATCTGCAGAATTGTATGTGTGGATCAACAAACAGAAGAGGGTGTGTGTAACTGTGTGTGCGTATGTGGAAGAAGGCCTATGGATTTCTCGGCAGTTTGAGGAAGAAAGTGGAGTGAGAAGAGAAGAGTGAAGGAGATTTTGGGGAGTTTATTCTGTATACTTGTATGTGATGTGCAGTTTGTAAAAATACCCAGTGCACTCCATTTGTTTCCTTATGGGAAGGCCATCCTCCCTCAAAACCATGCTGGCGGTAGGACTTCTCTCTCACGCAGGTGTTTAGACCTGATGGCAGAGACTTTTGGCAAGACTGGTCTGTCTGCAATTTTTTTTTACAAAGGTGGTTTGTCTGGCTCGTAAATGGTGTGGCTGCAGTCATTGGGTAGTACAGAATGACCAACTGTGACAAAAGTGTCTAATCATCATTTGACAGCATTGAAAACGTGAGACCGTGTGGTCCAGGTGGAGCCGGATGCACTCCGTCTGCAGTTGTTTCCAGGCGCTTCTCTAGCTGTGTCTGTGGTTGCAGCTGCCAGGCAGGGCTGAACCCAAGGCTCACCTGTAGCCACCCTGGGGCATGTCCTCACCTGTCTGCCTCTGGGAAGGGGCCCCCTCCCCGTGGGGAGCTAGAGGACCAGCCCCTTCACTGGCCCTCGCTCTTGGACTGCCCATCCAGTCTTCATTCCACATCCCTGCTGACCAGGGTCAGGCTCCTGTGCCAGCTATGTCCCTCCTGCTCAGTCCAGGCCTTCAGATCCACATTTCCAGAAAGGTGGATGGTGTGTGGTTGAGGCACACTGCCAGGAGCCGTCCAGGTGGCCCCTGAGCTCGACCCTTCGTTCCCCTACCTCTTCTCCAGGCCGGTGGGTGGGTGGAGGTGCCAGGGAGCCACCTGTCCTCAAGTTGCACCTGTCCCTGTCCACGCTCCTGTCATTCCACGGCACGTGGAAGTGCATGGGTGTGGAGCTGGCTGCAGCAGGTGACCTGGTGGCCCCCGCCCTGAGTGCTCACCCTTCACCTCTGAGATGGAGACCATGATACCACCCACTGTGGGGTGGAGGCCAAGACCACGGGGAAGCCAGTGCACCTCGAGCAGGTAGAGGGCCAGAGAAGAGCAGGCCAGGCGGCCACATGGCCAGGCAGAGTGGACTTCAGCTTGGGCTGGCCTCTCCCCCTCCTGCTGCCAATTCTGCTTTTCCCAGAAGTCAGAACTGCATGTGACATTTCCTTCATCTTATATAAAGCTAGGATTTCTTAAAATGTTGTTTCTAAGAATCTTAACGTCTAACAGTTTTTAAAGGCTTTATTTTGCAGGGGGCAGTGTTAGGTCCACAGCAGAATTGAGCAGAAGACACAGAGATTTCCCATACACCCCTGCCCCCACACATGCACAGTCTTCCCCACTATCGGGCTCCCCCATCACAGTGAGACATTTGTTACAACTGATGAACCCACGTCGACACACCGTAATCACCAAGTCCATAGTGTATGTTAGGGTTCGTCTTGGTGTTGTACGTTGTGTGCATTTGGACACATGTATAACAACATGTATCTACCATCATAGTGTCATACACAGGGGTTTCTCTGCCCTAAAAATCCCCTGTGCTCCGCTTCATCCCTCCTCCCAGCCCCTGGCAACCACTGATCTTTTTACTGTCTCCAAACTTATCCTTTTCCAGAATCTTGTAGAGTTGGAATCATACAGTGGAGCCTTTGATATCTAACATTTCTTAAAAGATTTCTGATTTTCTGATTATAAAAAGGCTGTTTGCTTGCTGTAAAAATGTAAATGAGTGCTGGGAAGTATTAATTTATACAGGAAAGCACAAATTACTAGCTAGAGCTAATCCACGTTTTGGTGCCGTTCTGTCTGTCCATCAGGGTGTTTGTTCACGCTCACACACACATTCTCTTGCTCCAGCACCCACATAGCTGCGTGCACTGTGTCGTGCCCTGCCTCCCTCTGCACGCGCTTTCTCTGTGAATGACCCACTGTGCACGTTTTCGGGTCATGACCATGGCTGGTTCTTTTTAGAGGAGACGTCGGCCACCGGTATCCTTTACTTGTTCTCGGTGGCTCCTGCCGTCTCCAGGCAGACGGACACCCTCCTCGATGTCTTCTCAGGAGACATTTGACGTATTTTGAGAGCGTGAAACAGCCCTCCGGAAAAAGCGCGTGTGCATTTTTACAACAGTAAAGTGCCAATTTGCCCACAGCCTCACAAAAACTAAATATTTGTTTAGAAAATGGTTTTTGCCCATCTAGCCAGCTGAAGACATTTCGTTGTTTCAGTTTGTATTTCTTTAATTTTTGTGTGTGTGGTTTTTGGCCATTTGTATTTCGTTATCGTGTCATTTTTCTGCTGAATTTTTGATTCATTTAGAAATGATATGGTACAAAGAATAAATTGGGGATCTAGCCTTATTTTTTCTAAATGGTTAGCTGGCTGACCCAATACTACTTATTAGGCATGTTTCTAATAAATAGTAAAACATCTATTTACATTTAGCTTATTAATTACAATTACACATATGCATCTAAGATCATACAGTAAAAATATATTGACGTAGAAGCAGTATGTTTTAGTCACACTGATGAACTGGTCGACTGAGACTATTGCCGTCTTTGCCCGTGAGGTCAGTACCCGCCCCACACAGTGTCTTCCAGGGGCCATCGAGAGTGCTCAGTCACACACGCACCCCACCCGTCTCTTCTGAGGGTCCTGGGTGGGAAAGAAACTCCTCATCAGGGATCTGCAGGCTTTCCTTTGGCAGCTCCTTCTGGAAGAGCCTGTGGGCAGTAAACTCTTTTTGTCTTTATAACATGTTCTTCTTTTGACCTCTTTCTAGAATGATGGCTTAGCTGGAAATAGAACTCTTTGTTGGCATATTCTTACAACTTTTCTTAAAGATAGGACTCTGTTGTCTTCAGAGAAGTCGCCCATCAGTCTGAGCCCCCTTGTGAGGAGGGTCTCTTTTTCTCTCTGGCTGCTCTTAGATTTTCTCCTAATCCATTTGTTCTCCTGTTTTACCATCCTGTGTCTAAGTAGAGGTTGCTTTGCTTTAATTTAACCTGCTCAGGAATCCGTATGTTTTTTAAATCTTAGGACTTGTGGTTGTTTGTTTTTTCCATTTGTTAAAATTCTCAGCCACTGTTTCTTTAAATACTGCTTCTTCTCATTTCTTTCTTTCTTCTTTTTCTTTTTTTTTTTTTTGTGTGCTGAGGAAGATTCGCCCTGAGCTAACATCTGTCACCAATCTTCCTCTTTTTGCTTGAGGAAGATTCACCCTGAGCTAACATCTGTTGCCAGTCTTCCTCTATTTTGTATGTGGGTAGCCGCCGCAGCATGGCCACTGACAAGTGGTATAGGTCTGTGCCCGGGAACCGAACCCAGGCTGCTGAAGTGAAGCATGCCAAACTTAACCACTAGGCCACTGGGCCAGCTCCTCTTCCCATTTCTTTCTAAACTCTTCTTATTAGACATGTTAGAGATGTTGCTTAAGGTGTGTGTATTTGTCTGTGCACAGGTGTCTTTAAAGAATTTCTCTCTGCTACCATCCCAGAGGTTCCCTCAAAGGTAACTTTGAAAGTGTAGGAGAGGGGAAGACAATTCCTCTACTCTCTATGTCGTTCTGGCTGGTCTAAGAATTAACTTGACATGAGACAGAATAACAGGAAAAAATCAGCCAAAGCTTTATAACATATGTACATGGGAGAAACCCAGGAAAAGTGAGTAACTCACCAGGATGGCCAAGATTGCCACCGGAAGTGCCATTTTCAACTAAAGACAAAGGAGGATGTTGGGCATAGTGGTTTGGGACTGGTTTGGTTTGGGAGGAAGACAGTTTACATGGAGATGGAAATGCAAATGGGCCAACTATAGACAATGTGACCTAAGAGACAGATTTTTACATTAAATTACCATTATCTTATGGTATTAGGTCCTTCCTGGAATAGGCCCTTTATTTTAAATTCTTTTAGGCAGTTAGAGGGAAGGTCCAAGTTTCTTTCATAGTCTTTTGTTCTTAAAAATAATCAAGAGACACATTTTGGGGTGGCCAATTATGATCCCCCACAGAGCCAATGGGTGGATTCCTGTGTCTTTACCAGAAGTTTCCATTTTATATTTATTCGTTACTTTCCTTGGGTTTATTTTATTGTTCTTTTCTTGATTTCTTTAACATTTATTTTGTTCTTTCTTGTTTTGTAACTGCATTTTTTAAGATGTGAGTTTTCCATCTGAGTATTGCTTTGGTCATGTCCCAGAGGTTTTGAGGGATAAGGTTATCAGCATGATTAGTTTCTAGGTATTCTGCCATTATGGGCTCAGGTTTTCTATTTCGCTCAAGAGTTGTTTAGGAGACAGTGTCAAAATTCCTTTAGTTACTTTTTAAACGTGTCGAATTCTACTTTTGATTCTATTCTATTAAGCAGCCTTATTAAATATACTTATTAACATTCTTTCTCAATTTATTTATACTCATCAACTTGAACTGCCAAGAACCGTGATTTTTGTGATAAAATCTTCCATTCCTCTTGTATTTCTTTCCATTTCTTCTTCTGCTCCGCACCGTTGTGTTCTGTCAATTTTCATGCCGTGTTACTTAGAGCAGAAATGTTCCTGACAGTTACAGCTCATGACGGTTCAAATTATACAGTGTCCTTTCTGATGTTTAGTAATGTTTAATAATATTTCTTTAAGCAGGTGTGAAAAGATCATTTTCAGAAAGAGGTAAAATGTGGCTGTCAAGTAGATATGAAACTGAACACGTTTAGGATTTTCTTCTAGTCATTAAACAGTGAGGGAACCAGACAGATGTAACAACCAGTTCCAAGGAAAAGTCAAAAAAACACAAATTTATATGGAGTAAAGGAATTGAATTGCAAGTGGAGGCAGAACTGGTTCTTCTAAAGGCGGGGAGAGAAGACAATGAAAACTCCCAGAGACAAGGCAGAATTTGTATGTCTCTCCACTTCCAGAGCTGTAAAGTGGCTCAGGAGAGGTGAGACACTGATCGCTCCCGAGGCTGTTCTGTGGACAATGCAGTTTCCATTGAAGGACAGTTTTTTTTTTCTCACACTTTCTCTGCTTTTGATAAAAAACAATCTCAAAGAATTGATCACAAAACAAGGCTGGTCTCCTTTGGCCTGATTATTTCCATAGGTACAGCAAGAGTGTTAATTCGTGATGTTGGCCTTCTTGAGTTTGCTTTGCTGGAATTTTCTGTCAGGATTCCAGATTGGACTTTTAAAAGCTTCTTGTTTGGTGTCCTGAGGCCACGAAGCCAAGAACTCACCAGGTTTCATCTGCTGGATGATTTTGAGCAAACTCCTTTTTTCTTGAGGTTTCCAAAACATCCTGAGCTTCCTGAACTTGCCAGGAGGTGACTCTCCTAACTCTCAATAAGCCACATACCGGTGGTTTTCCTGGGAGGGCTTTGGAAGCGTCGGCTCCATAAAGTCAACCACAGTTCCCTACAAGTGACAGATCCTGATGATCACATGAGCATCATTCTCAAATCTGGCCATCCAGGCAGGGACTTGGTTGCATAATCGATGTTTCCAGTCAAGTCCTGGTAAAAACAAGGACAGATGCTCTTTGAACCTATGCAGAAAACTATATTGCCAGAAAAAGTAAAACTACTCAACAAGAGTTTCTGAGTTCTGGAGAACTCAGACAGGGACAATGAGATACCACTTAGAAATGTTTCATTTCAGTTTACAAAAGCTGAGACCACTCAGTTTTTAGGGACTACAGACAGCTTAGAGGAAAGAAAAAGGGTTCCTTATATATCTAGAAAGTAGAACATTAAAACTACATCTACAATATTCAAAACAAAGCTGCCATCATCCCTTGTCAGTTCCTTCAGCCCTAGGTGATTCTTGTTCCATTTGGTCTTGGTTCGAGGTCTCAACCATCCGTCTGCTTCTCGACTAGAGTTCTGGAAATCCTGACTCAGTCCACTGGGATGGCCTCAGAGTGGTCTGAGCAGTGCCATCAGAAGCCTGTACCCACAGTACCTGCACGGTCCTTGCCCATGGGCCCTGAGACGTTCTTGCCCTCCTGAGATGGCACCCTGGCCCAACTGCAGAAC